GGGGAAGGGCATTGAGGCCATGCCATAGAAGGATCAGCTGAATGAACTGGGAATATTTAGCCCAGAGAGCAGACGATTGAGCATGTGGATATGATAGCTGTATCCTAGTATTTCCAGCGGTATAAGTTGGAGAAGGGTCAGCCAGTCAATAAACCCTTATCATGTACCCACTGCATGTCAGGCACTGTGCTAAGCACGAAGGGCCTACCTCCCAGGGTTGTTGTGAAGATAAAATTAGATAATATTTGTAAAATGTTTTGCAAACCTTAAAGAACAATATAAATGCTAGCTATTATTTTCTAAGGTACAGTGGACTTGGGTAGCTAGGTGGCACAGTGGATAGAGTGCCGGGCCTAGAGTCAGGAAGACCTGATTTGAAATCCAGCCTCAGACACTTACTAGCTGTGTGACCTTCGGCAAGTCACTTCACCCTGTTTGCCTCAGTTTCCTCATCTGTAAGATAAGGCGGAGAAGAAAATGGCAAACCACTCTAGTATCTTTACCAAGAAAACCCCAAATGGGGTCACGAAGAGTCAGACGCAACTCAAACAACCGAACAATAATACAATGGACCCAGAAAACAGTCCTTGTTTCAGGAGTCATAATGCATAAAAATAATTAACACTTATAAAGCCATTAATACTTATATAGCACTTAACTATGTGCCAGGCATTGTGCTAAGTGCTTTTTATAAATATTATCACCTTTGATCCTCACAAAAACCCTGCAAGGTAGATGCTATTATTGCCACCATTTTACAGTTGAGGAAACTGAGGTAAACAGAGTCTGACTTGCGCTGGGTCACATAGCTAGTATCTAAGGTCAGTTTTAGCCTCAGAGCTTCTTCACTTCAAGCCTGGCAATCTATCTACTGTGTTACCTGGCTGCCAGATTCACCTATCAGAGGTTGGGTACCCATTGCCTAGATGCCACATGTGACCCTCAAGGCCTCAGGTTCTCCAGCCCCAGTTCTCCTTTCTCTATCCTCTCTACCTGCCATCTTTCCCCAATCTTGGCTTGGGACTGAGCTGGTTCCATAGACCTGAGAGGCACCCTCCAAGTGTGGGAACCAAGGTCCAGAGTGTGGCAGGCTAATATTACAGCCAACCGGCTCTTGTATGCAGGTAAACTCAAAAATCACAGTGCCAACCTCCCTGGATTTGGAGTCAAGGGATTTGCATCTGAAGCCTCCTTCGGCTGCTTGCTGTCTGTATGACCTTGGGCAAGTTACTTTGCCCCTCCGAGCCTCAGTTTCCAATTCTGTAGGATGAGGATGGTCTCCCAGCTCTGACTCCTCAGATCCTACAACTAGATATCCCCTAACATCCCCTAACATCCCTTCCAGATCTGGATCCAATCAGCTGATAAGCCAAAACGATAATATCACCGAATGATATGTCATTCATTATATTAATATCCTAGGGCCTGGTGCAAAGGAGACGCTTGATAAAACTTGCTGATCAGCTGAATGACATGTGGACTTTATGATTCACAAAGTGCTTTGTGTACATTATTGTACTTGAGCTTCACGTGTCATTATCCTCGTTTTAGAGACGAGGCAATAGAGGCACCAAGATGGCGGATAGAGCGCTGAACTTAAACTCTGGAAGGCCTGGGTTCAAGTCCCTCCTCAGAGACTTATTAACTGTGCCATGCTGAGCAAGTCACTTAATCTCTCCGTGCCTCGGTTTCCTTATCTACGAAATGTGGAGGCTGAGCTCAATGACTTCTCAGGTCCCTTCTAGCTTTGACTCTGCAATCCATTTGTACATGTCCTTGATAATAATGGCCCCAAGAATTCTGCAGAGTCACAAAGCTAATAAATGTCTACTGTGGGATTTGAACCCCTGAATTATCTTCTTTGTACTTTGTACCTTTTCCCTAAATTTATGTGGCTACATGTTTTCTCCTCTGATCTAACATAAGATCCTCAAGACAGTGGCTGTTTCAATTCTGAGGTTCTGATAGAAGCTATTGCACAAGCCCAACACTGAAAACCACTGACCGCCTTGCAGATCTTCCCCCATACATTCACCCCCAGGATATTTTGAACTTGGGATGTTGATTATCTTGCAGACCACTCTTCCCCCAGGCGATTCTTAATGCGGGGCACTGGTGACCTGGTCAGCCCTAATGCTCTTGGCTGATAGGCACATACATCCAGATCTCTGCCCGCTCCTTCCATTCCATCACCATGAGCAAGGCCAGCGGGCTATGTAACACCAGGGTAAAGCCATTTACTTACAGTTCCTTCAGGGGGCTCATGAGATCTTGCATTCCAGAAGGACCAATTTTCTAAAACTGTTCTCCAAAAGGTCAGAAGCCATTGATAAGAGTTGGGTGCATTGCTCCTCAGGCAAATCCTACACATCTATTACATAGTGAGAACACACCAGCTGCCAGACTGAGTTTCCTTCTGAGATGATCTTTCAATTCCTCAGGCACTGGAGAGCGGCCAAGAGCAAACTTTTCTGGATGGGCCCTGAATATGCAGCCTTCTTTGCTTTTGGTATTCTCTCTGCCATGCCTGGGTTCCATCTTCATATAAGCTTCTACCCTGGATGAATGAATGTACAAGGTGTTCAGAAAATGAGCAACCCCAGTTATCTGTCTGACAGCTCACAAACAATAAAGGTATATACTGCAAATATCCTTCATGCAAGAACTGTATTACAGGTTTCATTTGGGAGCCGCTGTCCAAAATGGCAGAACACTCTACTCTTTCAATCTTATTACTATATAGGGGGCTACAGGCCCTGGTATAAAGAACCAGGGAATGTTGGTGAGACAGGTTTTAGGTTCTTTGTTGGTTGGAGGGGCCCTAATTCTCAGCCTCATGTTTACTTCCTAATATCAGTCTGCACAGCAGCTAGGTAGTGCAGTTGGTAGAGTACTGGGCTTGAAACCGGGAAGACTCATCTTCATGATTTCAAATCTAGCCTCAGATACTTACTAGCTGTGTGATCCAGTAAGTCACTTACCCCTGTTTGCCTCAGTTTCCTCATCTGTAAAAAAAAAAATGAGCTGGAGAAGGAAATGGCAAACTACTCCAGTATCTTTGCCAAGGAAACCCCAAATGGGGTTATAAAGGGTCAGCCACAACTGAAAAACAGTTGAACAACCACAATAACGATTGGTCCACAAAAATTCAGTTTCTAATAAACAAATTCCTGAATCTCTTCTTGAGAAAACTAACCCCCCTTCACAGGTGACTGCACCTTCAGGCTGCACGTGCCCATTAATATGACTGAGTGATGCCCAAACCAAACTAAAATGTAATTGGGAAATATTTAACAAAATTAACTTTAAAAATACAATAAAACATAAGCATTATTGGTTTCAAATTCTGTATGTGACCCATAGGGATCCTAATGTATTGTTTAATGGGCCCCATTTCTATTTGAGTTTGACACCACTGATTTAGACACCACATTTGTAGCACAATGCATATCCATATACAGTGC